TGGCCTTTAATAAACACATGTTGTACATTGATGCTGTTAAAATATCATTTTCAAATCTCTTTTATATTTTGGGAGTCTGGTATATGATTCCACATAAAAAGGATTTTGATGATAAAACATTTGGTCCTGAAATAAGCAACCAGAAGCCACTACAGGTGTCTATATTTTGGCAGGCAGATGACTTATTCAATGGAGTAAAAAGGATTGAAGATGAAGACTGAGGATGAAACTGGGGAGAGGACGGAGCAGTTAAAAGGGAATTTCCGAGCGGGAGAAGAAGGCAGCAGAGGAAGCAAAGGTACCAACCACATGGACAAACACTGAATGAGAGGATTTCCTTTTCAGTACAGGCACCGAAGCCAGGCCTTTCGCACCGGGCTATATGTGTCCCCGCCTTTTATTGTTTGTTTTTCAGCCAGGGTCTCATTAAGTCACTAAGTTGCCCAGGCTGGGCTTGATTGAACTGGTCATCCCCCTGCCTTAGCCTCCCAGAGTCCTGGGGTTAGAAGCATTCAGCACGGCCGGTTGAATAAAAGGATTTTTAAAGTGGGAATGGGAATGATTTTCTTGATTATTGAAATGTCATTTCACCATTTGCGGTCGATGTCAAACTTCCTCCAAGTGTGGCTCTTTGGTAGAGCTCAGAAACTGATGTGCTCATTTTTAGTACTAATTCAAAACATACCATCAAGTGGTCTTTGATTACTGTGCGGCAACTTTTAAAGACCTCTGCTTTCAAAAAGCCATGTACTCAGTAGAGCCAGATCTGTTGTTGGTGCCCAAGAAAGGACTTGTAGATCCCTGGCGTGGCGGAATCTGTGAGAGGAGCCCCTGCCACGCTGTGGTGGTACACATGACAGGGTCGCTGGGATTTTCCTGCCTGCTTTCTAAAACTTAACTTTCGAAGCACTGCTTCCCTTACTCCCTTAGCCACTTAGTTCACACTGTCATGAGGACGTGCCTCCAGGGTGAGCCTCCAATGCGTACCTGCCCCACCTCAGTGGGGAAAACAGTGCGGGTCCTAGGAGCGCCTGTCTAGCCAGCCTGAATCAAAAGGAACCCTGGACCCTTTGTAATTAAAATAAGACCACTGCCGAGATTTTTCAAAAGCTTCAAACTTGTTTTGCCACATCCTTTATGACTTACAAGCAATTTCACGTCTACCCTAGTAGACAGTAGTTATGCATTCCTGTTACTGATGATGAGCCTGCTATAGGGTGATCTGCAGCGTTCCTGAAAGGCTCGTGCTAAAGGCCTCCTCCACAGCTGGGTACCGCTGGAAGGTGGTAGAACCTTTAAGAGGCGGAGCCTAGTGGGAGGCTTGAGGTCACTGGGGGCAGCTCTGGAAGGGGACTGTGGGAGTCCAGCCCCTTCCTCTCTCTCTTTTGCTCCTGGGCCATGACATGACTGAAGCTGCTCCACCACCCCCGCCTGCCACAGTGGGCTGCCTTGTCACAGGCCCAAAGCCAAGGCCAGCCTGTGAGCCAAAGTAAACCTCTGCTCTTTCAAACCGACCATCTCAGGTATTTGCTATGGCAATGCGTGGCTGATTAACAGACCCCAAGGCCCAGAGTGGCTGAGTGACATTGTGTCACACAGTCAACGCACCCAAGCTGATACATGATCCTGAGCTTTCTGACTCCAAGCTGCTCCCTAAACTGCTGAGATTTCTCAGCATCTTTTTCAGAAGCAGTGGGCATGAGATTTCACATCTGTGTATTTTCCTGTTTGGAATACATGAAATAAGATGCTAGTCATTTTCCATGTCATCAGGAGTCAGCAGTGTTTCTTTAATTAGCAGCATCCCTGAGTTCGCACCGCCCGGGCTCTTTCCCTGGAAAGTCCTCTGGTCCACTGGATCTGGCCTTAGTCTGGGTCAGGAATCCTCCTCCACCCACAGCTGGCCGAGGAGACCAGAGACGTGCACACCCGGAAGTCCTGAGCCAGATGAGCGGCTGTAGGGGATGCTGAACTCCCTCAGGTGGAGGCTTACAGGGAGGGGACACTGGCCTTAGCTGTTTCGAGCAGCATTTACTGATGTTTCCAGTGATGCTATTTTTGGCATCATTTGATCAATGACTCAAAGATTGGTTTTAATTTGAGAAGGTCTGAATCCTCACAGATTTCATTTCTGCCTTCCGTTGTTCCCTTCACTGAAATGGAACAGTGTTGTGCTTTCGGAGATAGAAAAGCAAGGCGGGCCTGATCTTTTCATTCAAGGAGTCTGCAGCAGCTTAGATAATGCCCTCGCCAGGCTGAGCAGCGTGCAACACTGTGTGGAGGACCTGCCCTGCTGACCTCACTCCTGCTGCTCTGTCCTCCCCAGCCACGAGTCTCCCCTCTTCCTGTAGCAGGCCACACTTGTTTCTGCCTGGGGACCTTTGCACTTGGCCTTCCTGCTGCCTTCTAGCTTTTTCTTTTTTTCCCCAGACGTTTGCTTGGCTTGTTCTCTTCCACCATTTGGGTTTCAGCTCAGACATGCTCATGTCAGGAAGTCCTTTTCCATATCTTATTTCTTTACTAATCGTCTCTCTTGCCCAACAGAACATAAGCTTCCCTTATATTTGGGAGTCACGGACAAGAACATCATGGTACTCAAAAAATTCTTCGATTCAAAGGGAGTACGCCCAGAGAGGAGATTAAGAGTGAAAACTAGCTTTGGGCTTAGCCATTCTGGCGCTACAAGGAGCCAAGGAGACTGCAAGGGAAGTGAGAAGGCGCAGAGGAGGAGACGCAGGGAGCAGTGGAGCGCAGGGTCAAGGCGCTGAGCACCGGGACGTCGACAGGTGAGCAGTTGCAGAAACACTGGAGCAGAGTGGACAGGCTGCTGGTGCGACAGCTGACAGCTCACGTGGCTCTCTGAGGACACAGAGGTGGCAGGGCAGGGGGGGAGTTCGAAAGAGTTTAAGGAGTGGTGGCCACTGATGTCGCCCTAGCCAGGACGTGGAAGCTTGGAGGGTTGGTGTCCAGCTCGGGGGGCAGACAGGGAGGGAGGTGCCAATCCATGTCTGGCTGGGCTGAGAGGGTCCAGCAGACTGTGGTGGTCTACAGCCCGCGGGGCCTGTGTCTCCCGGGCTCCTCCGCACAGGCACACGCGCCCTTGAGAAACTGGATGTGTGTGAGGGAGGGATGCGGCCCGTGCAGGGCGGCAGGGCAGAAGCCACCCCAATGAGCAGTTTTCAGCTCTCCACTCAGCGAGTGCTGCTTCCCCCGCTTCCTGACCAGCATTTCCTGCCGTGCTCAGCAGCCCTGCCTGCACTGGCCCAGCACCAGCAGCCCCACTCTGCCTTCCCAGCCCGCTGTGGGCTCCCCGCTCCCTGCTGCTGGCTGCCGGGCTTTGGGACTTGGGTCCCCGCAGAGCTCCACCAAGGCAGCACCCAGAATCCATCGAAGACCCACAGGCTGAGTCCGAAGCCCTGCAGCTCACCTCTCGGAGTGCTGTGCTCGAGCTCGGGTCTGGGTCTTTGCACCAACCTGGCTCTTGTTACGCTTTAATCGGTGATGCACTGGAGTGCAGGTTGGCTGGAAATCATGAGCACATTGTCTTCAAAAGCAGTTTGAATCTTCCTCTACTAAAGGACATTGGCTCCAGTTTTTTTAGCCATGGACACAATTTTCTTTCTTCAGACAGGCCTCATTTTTCAAATGTCACAAGATCTTTGCAAAGCATACATCATATTGAGGTAGTCCTCCACCCCGATTTTAATAATTCTTCTCGTAAGTGCCCTTTGATGGGTGATCCGTCCTTCTCCCAGCCCAAGTTACTGAAGTAGGAATGCAGGTGGGACTGGGGGCCGCAGAGGCCGACCGCACAGTGGGTACATGAGGTTCCCGCTGGTCCAGGCCAGCTCCACTCTGCATGAGCTGCGATATTGACCCGTAGGCCTTCTGCACAGGCCTAGGGGCTAACTCAACTCTGGGCCTGCAGCTCCCCCTGTAATCAAAAGCACATTGCAATAGCAGAGGTGGTGCCTGATGGAAGGTGTATTTGCCAACATGGAGCCAGTGCCCCACGGGGTCTACTTTGTTCTGGAATTTCTAGCGCGTCACAGGCCATGCAGAGAAACTGTCCCACATGCGGCGACACCAGCCTTCCCACACAGCGGGAGGGGTGGAGCTGGGCACAGGCACCCCTGGCAGGGAGGGCATCAGTGTTATGCATGAAGCAGTGTGCACAAAGAACAGTTCTCTGGTCTCCCATTCTTGATTTGAAATTTGTAATGCATGTGAAAAATATCCACGGGTTTTTATTTTAAGCTTTTCAAATTCATCCCTAAAGCTGCAGTGAAGGCCCTTCCTAGGGGCGCTAAATTCCCTCCCGTTTCAGTGACGAATCAAGGATGAATAATGAAACAAGTGGGGCCGGGGATTTAGCTCAGTGGTGCCACAGCCGGCCGAGCTAGCGGAGGGTCCTGTGTTCGATCCCTGGCACCAAAAAAAGAAAAGGGACAAGTGCCATTTACTAGGCACCTTGGTGTGCGATACAAAGTGCTGAGCCCTGTATGTGGGCTTGCTCCTCCTCCAAACCAGCCTCTATGAGATCGATGTTGACCCATTTTACAGAAGACACAACTGAAGCTAAAGACAGCTAAGTAGTGGCAGGGACAGGTGGAGGAGCTGGCATTAGGCCTGTACCAGTCTGACAGCAGCGTCACCGAAGCTCATCTCCAGCGTGCCATGACAGAGAACAACGGTGCCTGTCTGGAGTGCATTTCCTGGGTCACGTGTCTACTAACTAGAAGATTAGCAGTGAATTTTAAGATGCAAAGGAATTGAGTTTTCCAGCAGAGTTAGGATTTTGTGGAATGGTGGGAGGTCAGGTAGGGAAACAAGAGCACACTCGTAAGATCCCTTGTTGCCTTGCTACCCCCTGTGCCCCATGAACTGCTCTCCTCTGCGATGCCTGCTCTGCCACCCCGCCTTGGAGCCAGCTGATTATGGACTGAACCTCTACGAACTGTGAGCCAAGTAAACCTTCCCCTTTAACTTTGGGTGCTGGATATTTTGTCTCAATGACAGAAAAGTAAGTAAGACACGCTAGCAACTCTCAACTGTTGGCCCTTCACAAAGGCCCGGGAGGGGCAGAAAGCACAAGCGATTTCCAAAAACCGAGATTCACGGTGAGCTCCCCATTCAGGTCTGACTCTCCTGCCAGCCCGACACCCCCACCTGGTACCTCTGGACCTTCTGGTCCTGTCACCAGCTCAGGAAGTCCTGAAAGGAGGTAGGACGCTGACCACAGGGCCACCACGGTGAGAGTGAGCCAGGGCCAGGCCTCTTCCCCACAGAGGGGCGCGGGAAGGTAGTGTGACGCCTGTCTCAAAACTGATGGTTCAACGCTCAGACACACCCCTTCGGGAGTCTCAGCCTCCTTTCTGGCCTGCAGTGTTCATTCTCGGCCGGGCACACTGCGCCCCAGCACCTTCGAGCCGCGGCCATCCCTTCCTTTGGGTGCCCCTGTGCTTTCGGCTCCCCACCACTTCTCCTACTCCTGCTCTTCCCCAGTCTGCCTCAGAAGCTGATGCTGTACTGTGACTGGGAACACAGCCCCGGTTTTCCACACTTTCCCTTGGCCTGCACCGTTTTGCTGTTCGGAAACCCACCCTGCCCTCCATCTTGTCTATTCTCCAACTTCCTCTCGGAAACTCGCTCTCAGTGCTGGCTGCTTCTTCCTCTGAAACCCACCCGTCCTTACTGTCCACACTTTTCCCTTGGCCTGTGAGCTACTGCTATGTGTTACAAGTTATTTTTTCCTACTTAGCTGATTAATTTACCCAGCTATATTGAAAGCTGTAGCAAACAACCTAGCGATCTTTTGCATTGCTCTCTCAGGATTAGGACACAGGCTGGGCTGTAATTCAATCAACATTGGTGGACTGAGTACAAATTGACAATGTTAGTCACAGCCGCGCTGCCTCTTATGGACTGTATTGTCTATCAGCACAGTGCGAAGAGCAGTGTGCACAATGTCTCACTCATTACTATAAAAATTCGAAGTTATTATCCTTGTTTTGCAGCGGAGGGAACCGAAGCAAAGTGAACAGACAGCACCCACATAGCTAACACAGATTCAGCCACAGAGCTCTGGTATCCTATCCGCAGCCAGCACACCACCGCTGGCCCAATCAAGAAACTCCTGTGGTTGACTGAAACAAGAAAGCAGCAAGGCGGGGATGCTTGAAGCTATAATGAGTGTGGCCGTGGAAATACAGGTCAGCCAGGAGAGTTGGAGGCTGGAGGAGATGGCGTGAGGGCCCATGGAAGGGCGATTTCTCACACCCACCCTTCCAAATGACCTCAGGCCTCGGACGTGACCTCGGGAGTCAAATGGACTGGCTTTCAATCCTGTTTTGCTGCTTCGCTGTGTGGTCCAGGCCCTGTGATTCAAAGTTCTCAGGGGCTCCGTCTCCTCGAGTACAAAACTGGACGGTAAGGTCTCTCCCCCCTCCATGCCCTTGAGGATTGCATGGACGCGTGCAGGCCACGTGTATCAAGTACACAGTGAGTGTCACCTTCTGATACCAAGAATCTCTAACCTTGGCCAAAGCGGCGCCTGCGAGACTCACGGACTGACGGCTGGAAAAGCTCTGTTTCCTTCCTTCAGACCACACTGCAGGAAGAACCTGCAGCGGTAGACAAAGGCAGAGGGCAAAACCCAGTGTCCATCCACCCTTAAGGACTCCTCAGCACACCAGTGCAGGAGCCAGACGCTCCCAGGACTGAGGCAGTCTTTCCTCCAGTGGCTGTGGGAGAAAGGAAGCCCTCCCGATGACAGATGATCAGCATGGCCTGTGCTGGCTACAGTGACCAGAGCCAGCCAGCAAGACCAGGCTCCAGTATGCTGGACGCCCTTGGCCATGTGACCAACCTCTGCTTCCTTCCCGGGGAAATGGAGTCCTCAATCAGAGTAGCGTGGGCACTGGATCACTGGGAGAATTCGCATGCAGGTAAAATGCGTGGTCAGAACTACACACCGTTGGTCTGTACCAGCAGCCTTGATGGAAGGGAGCGATTACACTGGTCTGAGATCACACAGCACCCAGCACTCTAGGCAGCTCATTCTCAGAAGTGGCTTGAGTGCGCATGTTTTGTTGGACAGCACTGGTGGGGCTCTGAGCAGTGCGCACTTCCGGATGTGGAAGCCCCTTCCCAGTCAAAGTCTCCTCCCCATCAGCGGGAATCAGACAGTGCCGATCCGTGTTCAACAGCTGTGTTTCATTTTATTTTTGAAGATTTGAAATCACTGCTTGAGAGGCTGAATATCCCTGAGAACTTCAAGAAGTTCATTTCAGGCAATGACCAGGTTATGTCACAACAGCTGAGCTAACTATTCAAGGGCTTATCCCAGCCTTTGTGAGCATGGCGGGTGAACTAAACACAACGAAGAAGCTGGAAGGAGGGCCATGCTGACTTCCACACGCCCTCGATTCCTGCCCGGCACACAGCGAGCGCTGGCACCTCCACGCTGCTCCTGGAGCAGCGCTCTGGACACGGTGTCGCCACAGTGTGCCCCAGGGCTGAGTGTTAGCAAGCGCTCCCTGCCTGGGACGTGCCCGGCTGGCCTGCGCTCCCGTCTGTGCCAAGGAGGAGGAGGAAGCACAGAAGGTTTGGCCCAGTCCGGGGGGGGGGGGGCAGAGTGCAGAGCGCTCTGGGCTTCTAGGAACGGTCAACTTGTGACCGTCATCCTCTGGGGAATGACCTGCTCCCGAGACGACGAAATCCCTGCTAGAAGCTTTGGCTGGGCCTATTTCCTGGTGTAATTGTTGATCAAAATCTCCCCTAAATTTCCTCTGGAAAGTTAAAGGCAGATCACCATAGCTACGATGATAATCCGTACTGATTTTGGGGACTGAGGTTTGTTTGGTTTTGGAATTAAAGAATGTTGTTTTATATCCTCGCTTACTTCTTAGATGAGATAATGTGAAGGAACCATCTTTCAATTTGCTTTTACTTTTTTTTCCGTACTGGGATCAAACTCAGGACCTTGCACTTGCCAGGCAGGCGCGGAGCCACTGAGCTACATCCCCGGCCCTAATTTGCTTTTGCTTTGTAGCAAATGAATAAATTGATAATAATGGCTTACCATGGATAAGCACATATCATTTATCAGTCTTGGTCTAAGTACTTTATGTAAACACCTCATTCAGTCCTAAGGATAACACAATCAGCGGTGTTAGCATTTCCATTTTACAGATGAGAAGATTTGGACTCCACAGGTAATCTGTCTTCGAATTATCACCTAGGAGTTGGGACTTACATTAGGCTACCTTTATTTGTAGTTTTGCTTCTCTTGGGTTTAAGTTACCTGCAGTCAACCATGGTCCAAAAATATTAAATGGAAGATACTGGAAATAAGCAATTAATCAGTTTTAAGTTGTACGCTGTTCTAGGCAGCATGACAAAACCTCCCACCATTCCATATGAACAATCTTTCTGCCCAGCGTGTCCATGCTGCACACCCTGCCTGCCCACAAGTCACTGTTGGTGTGTGCCTGTACTTGTGTTCAAGCAGCCCTAGCTTCCTTAATAATGTCCTGAAGTGCAAGGGAGATGCTGGCAATTTAGATACGCCAGAGAAGAGGTCTCACGTACTATCTGTTGAGAGAGAGACTACATTCACATAACATTTATTAGGATTGTTGTATTTTATTGTTACTTGTTAATCTCTTGCTGTGTCTAATTTACAAATTAAAATTTATCATAGGTTTGCATGGATAAGAAAAACCCTAGCATATATAGGGTTCAGTATTCTCTGAGGTTTCAGATGTCCCTGGGTATCCTGGGCTGTCTCCCCTGCAGAGAAAAGGGGGTCACTCTGACTACTTCACTGCCTCTGTAGGACACTGCCTTGGCCCAGGTACATGGCTCTGGGTAAGTGGATGGCCGCTTACCCATCTGGACTTGGCAGTCAGGTGCAGCCCTGAGTCAGAGTTCTGGCCTATGAGATGGGCATAGGAGGGATGAAGCCTTCGAGGCCTGACCCGTAAGAGTCTTTCACTGAGGCTCCTGTGTTCTCTGTCCTCCTTTGGAGCTGAGTGAAGAGGACATGGGCATCTGCAGGAGTCACAGCACGGCACTGAGTGCCACCATAAGCTGTCTGCCAACCAGAGCGTGTTCAACTTCGAATCAGTACAAAATGTCCATTGTGTTAAGTCGCTGAGTTCCAAGTCTGTTATAGAGTCTGAAGTCACTTTAGTTGATGTACCCTATGATACAACTGATTAATGTGCACAATAATAGGCTACTATTAGTGGACCATGGTGCCAGAATTGCCACGGTTTTAAGTGGTGTGCGTTCTCTCAGTCTGCAGGGTACGTGGCCTAACTGGGGACGGTCCCCTAGCTTTTAGAGATGATAAGGAGATAGATCCTATATCCTGTGTCCATCTTTCAGAGGGAATTAGCATGACATGAAAATAATCAGATTGCACAATAATCAGTCACTGGAAACCCATCTGGCATGGCGATGAGCTCATCCCCCGGAGAAAGGAAATTTCCCTGGGAGGCTGGGTGGGGTGTCTGCCAAAATAGGCCACTGGCTTTCCCAGGTCCAGTGGTCAGGTAGCAGGTCCACATCCTGGTGAGCGATTTAAACGTCTGACACTTATTGAGTGAGGACACATGATGTTAGGGCCTAACAAGCTCAGCGCCTTTTGCCATCTGCTGCACAGCTCTGGGTGGATCCATAATGTTATCCCTGACCTCTCGCCTCCTATCTCCTCTGCCAAGCTCCCTGCTCAGTGCTGCTTCCTCAGGAAGCCTTCCTTGGCCTCTCAGAAAAAGTAACACCCCTGTGTTGCCTCTTAGGCCAGGAGTCTCCTTATCTTTAAAGTATCGACCTGTAGTTTCACCTTCAGTTTGCACAATTATGATATTTACAATGTCGAGTGACTAGTGATGATCAAATCTCCACTGAATGAAGCCTCCCTGAGAAAATGCAATTGTACTTGTTTCTTTTTTGGTACTGGGGATCGAACTCGGGTCCTTGCGCTTGTGCAGCAGGTGGCGAAACCACTGAGCTAAATCCCCGGCCCTGTTGTACTTGTTTTTGTTCACCATCCTATCTCTAGAACCAAGTACGCTGCCTGGCACACAGAAGTATCCATTGATTATGTATCAGATGAATGAATGAAGGTGCATTTAATTAATGGGAAAGCTGGGGCAGAGAAAGCCGAAAATGCCATACCTGGGTTAAATGTGAAAGTTGGAAATAGAACTTAGGATGCTTCACTTTGCATGCTGCTGGCCCTTTCCTTCCAAGTGAGTCACTGAAATGACTGTTCTGAACAAATGGTCGCTTCCATAGCTGACACATCTCCAGGGCAGCTGCTGGGATCCCCAGAGGACAGGGCTGCCAGCTCCCTGAGCCACTGCATGAAATCCTTATTTACCAATGAAGACTGCAGTGCTCGCCTCCTGAAGTATTGAGAATCAAAAAATAGAACACATTTGAGAAGATTCTATAAATTCTTCAAAAATGTGCATAGCCGGTTTCTGGCATGGGTGAGCCCTGTCTCTGAAACGGTGGGTTTTGAAAAGATCCGTGAGCAGGACATTTTGAGGGCACCACATCCCTAGTCGGTCAAATCATTTCCAAGGCCACAGCAGAGCAGTGGCCTCAGCCCCACGCAGAGATCCCATCCACACGAAACATGGCCACCCCTTTTCTGAGCAGAGCATCACAGCAGTGAGCCGCCGCCCTAGACCTTCAGACACCTTCCCGATGCCCAGGGAGCCAGGTGTTGATGGCAAGCCAAAGCTGCTTTGGGAATAGATTATCTAACTGGGGAGGGGCGGGCCAGGCTGATTTCAGACAGGCAAGCTCGGTGCCAAAGAAAATCCCTTTGAAGGAGGATGAAAACATTCCCTAGTCAGGTTCAAAAATATTGTATGTAAAAGTAAGAAGTAAAAACTATTACATTGTTTCCTTCCCACATCAAGGAGGAACAATTTGAAAACCCAAGAACGAAAGATTTGCTTTCTGCAATATCGTGACTCTGTGTCAACCTAAGAAGATACTGTTGCGAAAGATAGGATGCATGAAATTCAAACGCACTGGCGCAAATGCAAACAGGCTGTCCTTTACAATAGGCACCAAGAGCCTTAAAAGGTGGCTGAAAATATTAAAAATGTGCAGACTTGCCAAAGAAATCTAATAAACTTGCTGTTTCTCCTTACAGATCACCCGAGAACAGGCAAGGTCCAAGCCACATGTAGGCATTAAATAATACAGAGGACCCTGCCTTTTGAAAACATACATTGCTGTGACGGAATGATGAAAGGGAGCAGCAGAAATAGCAAATTGAGAATCAAAGGCCAGCTCTCCACACGTGGAAACGTTGGCTTCAATCGTGACCTCCTGTACTGGACCAGATCAGTTGTACCAGCTCTTCCAGAAGAGGCGGGTGAGGCCAGAGACCCCCGTCTCATCCTAGAGAGATGGCGCCATCACCCTAACCACTCCTGCGGAGGGTCTGCAAGGTTGTATTTGCCAACCACCTGAGACTTCGAGACCCTCTCAGTCTCAGAAGCAAACTTCTGCTCAGAAGTAAACACGCAGATGGCTCTGGGACTCCAAACCGACCCGGCTGGTGAGACCTTGCTTATTGGTGGGAAATGTGTCCATCGGTCCTCGGTGGCAGGCCTGGCTCTGAGGTCTGCACGGGGCCGTGTTAGCGCGCTGGGGAAGACTGCTGTGTGGTTAAGGTAGCGGTGGGCTCTCCAAATTCCCAACGCTGCGGTGGTCCCATGGCCACTGGTCCTTGTAGCAGCCGCGTGCGGGATGAGCCAGAGTGAGGATAAAACCCCGCAGCTCAGAAGAAGAGCGTGTGCCCGTGGTCCCCAAGGGGGCCTGTGTCCTGAAACCAGGCAGAGGGGAGAACCCCTGGCCTGCTGCCTCTTGGGGGCCTTGTCAGCAGGCACTGGGAAATAAAACAGAAACAAAGTTTACAGCTCTTATGAGGGGGCCAGTTTCCATAAATGGAGAAAAAACTTCCAAAAAGAACTTTAAAAAAAGGGAACGGCATCCAACTTAAAAATAATCTAAAACAGACTTACATATGCCGTACATATACATGTGTTCCACGTCTTTGAGGCCAGAAGCAATTTATGGCGGGTCAATAATTCAGATCATTCATCCTACGTATTTATTTTTTCTTACAGTTTGAACTGCACAGCGAGGAGTAAGGTGGGGCCAGGCTCGTGGTAGGGGGCCCAGGAGTAGCTTCGTCAGGAGCTTAAACTCCAGGGATCCTCATGTCATGGTGTCTCTTTCAAGTCTCTGGGTGGTTCCTAGCCATGTGTTCATGTGGTCATTTCTGCAAAAGTGAGATATTTCCACGGTCATCAGATAGGACTAGTTTCCCTTTCCACTGTGACTCCCCTTGGTGCTATGTGGCCTCTTGATGAGGGCAGTGGAACGTCCGTGGCATTCTGGGAAGTCGAGTGGGGACACGTTTGGCGGGGACAGGGACAGGCCAGTCCTGGGAGCCTCACCTGGCTCGTCCCGTCCCCTGTGTGGCGAGCCATCTTACTGTGAGGGGGTCGCATCTCACAGTGCCGGGCATGCAGCCTTGTGGTGAGCAGAAGAGAGGTAAGCTTAGAAAGACCACGAGCCGGAATCCAGCATGTGGGGAAATCTTCCAATCATCACACTGGTGGAACTGCACGTAGAGCTTAAGGGTCGTAGCCCCGCACGGAAGGTGGGCGCTATTTCCCACCAGAGTGGAGGAGACCCAGCGCCAGAACTGTAAAGCACCACGTGACTTCTTCCTCCTCGGGGAACAGCACCGCTGGATCCTCCCCCATTCCTGCGTCTCGAGGGCACCCCCCTCTATTCTAACTAAGCGGCGGGCTGTTCCACAACAGGTGACACCCAAGAGAAACGACTTCGGAAGTCTTCCCAGATCCCACCGTAACCCTAGAATCTGCACAGCAGTAACAGGCTGTGACTCTGAAAGACGTCCTTCTCAACTGTCAGCGCCTCACGGGCTCCTGCCAGTCACTGTTCATGACCCGCCTTTCTAGGTGCCCTGTAAGGCCCTGTCCGCTACGGATGCTCCGTGGCTGAGCGGGCCACGTTCCATCACCAGCTGCAAAGGCGCTGGCAGCACCTGCCCCCAGGCCAGCTCCGCTCGCGCAGTGCTGAGCATTAGTGGTTTCCGCTGCTGGGGGCTGGGTGTGCTGCCGCCCCCCCCTTTAGGAGAGAAAAGTGATACGTAGTGCTAGTGCTAGTCCAGCACGGATCAGAATCCAATGTTCAAAGCGAGTATGTGTCGCTTCTGAACTACTGTGAAGTCAGAAAGTCGAGAGTCAAACACTGTTAATCAGAGATCTCAGTCAGTGATCCCTGCGGATATCTGAGCCACATTTTCAATGTAGATCGCCCGACGTTCTCCCTCGCGAAACTGAAGGCGGGAGCTCATGCCGTCATATGTGTGTGTTTATTTTTATTAATTATGATTTTAATTATACCTATTTATGGGGCTTGGTGTGATAGTTGGATGGATAATTCAGTACTTCATACAGTGCGACCTATCAAACCAGGTGCATTAAAAGTGCCCGCCTGCTGGCTCCCTGTTCTGCCGCCGCAGGTCTGGGCTTGAAGCTTCTCCCGCTCCCCCAGTGCAGGAAGGCTCCTCGCTGCATGCTCCTGTGCACCCCAGAGAGCGGTCAGCACCCCAGCGACCAGGCCAGGGGCAGTTAGACGGCTCGGGAGTCAGGTCTGGGCAGTGTGCATAGCTCTCAGGGTGAATGGGAAACTGCCTGGAGACCGAAGCCTTCACTTTAGCCAGTGGAGAGCCTGAACCACGGAATGTGCCAGAACGAAACATAGACGTGGCCGTGCGTCACAGTGTCCCTAGTGAAAACACACATTCAAGCTGCTAGCAGTAAGAATGCAGGGTTCCCCACAGCACCATGCTGTACTAGTGCACTCTTCAGTGTTTTAACACACTTGCATTATGCCCCCGGCTGGGAGGCCATCATCCCCTTTCTGTAACTAAAAGCAAAAGCCCGGAGAGAGTTAAATTCTTTTTGGACAGTTTTCCTTGAGCTGAGTTCGTTATTCTCAGCACTTCTGTCAAAGCCTCAGTTTGTTGAAATGCAACTATTTGTGGGTTGTTTGTTTTTGTGGTGCTGGGGACTGAACCTGGGCCTTCGCCCTGAGGTGTATTCCCCAGCACTGAGTTATTTATTTATTTCTTTGCTACATTTGGAGATGCAGTCTTTCTGAGTCACTACGTTTCCCAGGCTGAGCTTGAATTTGAGATCCTCCTGCTTCAGCCTCCTAGAGTGCTGGGATTATAAGCTTGCACCACAGCTGGACACATTATTTTTCTTGCCCCTTCCCCTTGGCGTTATGAGCAAGTGAAGATTATTGTAAGTGTCCTTTCTAAACAGCCTCGATGACCAGCAAACCTCCAGGGCAGGGAGAAGGTAGGAGCTGCCGGGACTCGGTAAGTGGTCATGAACACATTCAGCTCACCCCCTGCCGCCTGCTCTTGGACCTGCTGATAACCCGGCCTCCCGACTTGGCTCACTAGCATAGACCTGCCACCTTGGCTGTTCTGGCTGCTGCCTTCTGGCCACCTGTGGGAATACTTCCTGGCAGCCATCAGAGCCATGAGGGTTTCTATTTGACCCCTTGGGCCACCCAGCCGGCGTGGCTGGAGACTGACCAAGGTCAAGTACCAGGAGTGCTTGGCCCAAGAGTCCCCCTCATGGCCAAGGCCAGGCTGTTCACGCTACTGGGCGGCACCTCCAGGTGTAATGAAGTCCAGAGGAAGCCGGCCACTCTGGGCCATGGTTTGCCGCTTACTTTGCAAATTGATGAGACTGACAGAAAACGAACAAGGAGGTAAAGTGAAAGTGGGAGCCCTCAAATCACTGGGAGCACAACTGCACCGAAAGACGGCCACGTAATCACCCCAAACTCCACACGGGGCACATGGGGCTCTAAGCCAAGGTTTCAGGAAAGCTTCAGATGGACACACCAACCAACCCTGTTGCTGCTTGAATCTCCCGGCAGAGATTTTCTTCTTTTCTAGAATTCTTTCAGATTCACAGCTTGTCACTGGAAATACTATGTAAAATTTCCATGTGGCTGTCAACTGGGAAGATTTATATATCATCCCTAGAGACACAGTTGCTATTTAGAGTACAGCTACAGGTACCCGCCCGTCAAGCACAAGACTTCTGGAAAATCTCATCTCTAGAAACCTTGTCCCCTGATGAAGAAGAGGGTCAGGGTCCCAGGGCCCCACCAGGCTACATAGGCAGCAGGGCCCTTGGGTGTGGCTTCGGGGACTTCCCTTCAGCGAAAGTCTAGACCCTGCTCCAGGTGGGGCTGGGAGCCCACACGGTCCTAGTCATTTAGACGTACAGTCCCCTAGGGAATCACACACGGCCACTTTGTGCCCCAAACACAGAGGCCAACTGCGCTGCATGCTTCCAAGCAAACAAGGACAGAAGCCGAATGGCTGGGCTTGAGCTGATGAGACAAACCAGGTCGCAATGCACTGTCACAGTGCTGCCCCGGGACAGGTTCGAACCCCAGCCCTGCACCGAGCAGACAAACAGAGCAGCCAGAAATGCTGCTCTCCCATTTCCTTAGACTGCACAGAGCTTCTGTGGGGCCTGATCCCGGGCCCTGCGCAAGTCACCAAACAGGCAGTGAGGGCGAGGCTGGCCTTGTTGCTTATGCTCCTGCCCCCCACCGCCCGACACTTGTCACCCCACAGCTGACGACACACTGACCACTCACACACACCGACAAAGCATCGTCTCTTGCCAGGGAAACTCAAGAGGGGAAGAACGACCTTCATCACTGCGGCCGGGAATTCTGTAGTTTCAGCCTCAGGCTCTGCCACGTACTCACCGGGGACTTGGAACACTCACTGCCCTCTCTGAGTCTCAGCCGCCTCACCTCTGCCATGTGACACCCCGGCCTCCTTCCGATCCCGGGCAGCTCAAGCTCCCAAGCCCCTGGCTCCTTGGGAGGATGTGCATCAGTGTGGCCTGGCTCCGGGAGCACATGACACCACTTACACGGCCCTTCCCACCGCCAGTCTCTGCAAGGAAAAGTCCGGAGCGTCAGGCCCACCTGGTAGAGCATCCGGGACCCGCAGCACGCTTCCAGCATCAGCTGCAGCGCCCGCAGGCCGCCCCGCTGCAGGTCCTCAGCGCCCTGCCGGCGCGGTCCCAGCTGCATGGTGCGTCCTCCTGCCCCGAGCCCCGCAGCCCCGCAGCCATGCCAGCTGTGCCCCGCCTTTGCCCTGCTGCAGCCCCAAGCACAGCGCTGTGTTCTCTCAGTAACAGGAAGCTCCAGTGCCACTGAGATTTAATCGGGCCAGGAAAAATGCAGTCAAAACAACTGCGCTCCCTCTGGCCCTCCTCTCCACAGGCCCCGGAATCTGCAGAGACTTTCCCTCAAGGAGAGCAGAAGCCTCCTAAATCAAGGCCTCTCTGTGCCCCTGTGTCTGGGGACGCAGCTGGCATGGGACCAGACGGCAACCACACACATCCCGGCCCTGGGAGGGAGGCCTGCTCCCGGGAGCGTCCTACTTGGCAGGTCGCAGCAACTTCAGGGAAGAGCACACATCCAAAAGCATTCTAGGCTGACGGAGCTGAGCCAGGGCGCTGCAGGCCCCCACCAGCACTCCCAAGACATTCCCAGTCTTCTCTTAGCTCTGAAACTTGGCGAACCAGCGAGTTTCTGCGAGTTGAAGCAAAAAAGTTCAATTTTGTATCAACCTTGGAGAAATGGCTAGTTCTGTGGGCAACTTGTAAAAACCCAGGCGTTTTCTTTGGACATGTCCCAAATTTAGGTTAGGATTTTAAGGGCCGTAAGGAAACACATCTGAGCAACTTGATATCCACAGCTAAGATTTTGGAGGAGAATGAACGGAGGCGGTCACTTTTGCTTTTTCCAAGATCTTCTACAAGAGCCCTGGCCACGTGCAGAATTTAACCCAGGGAAAGACACTCGGTTAAACCTGTTACAGCTCTTCGTCATTCACCAGAGCCCTCTGGTTGTTGATTATTTTTGGCCCTGTTTCAGAAGGACATCTGCACCCTAATTCACCGCAGTTTGTATTAGTGGGTGAGATTCCAAGCTGCCTAGGGAGACAGTGACAAAGAAGGCGTAGCCATAGCACGGCTGCTGGGAGGGAGAAGGGGCAGTTTAACCTGGGTGCCACCTGGCAGCAGCCCTGAAAGATCCTGGCCACTGCTGAGGCGAACTGTGTCCGTGCACTTGTTTATTATCCCTTCAAGTCCAACTTCCCATCACCAGGAAAGCCGTGCCGCAGAACCTGCTCGCTCGCCGTCCTGTCTTGAAGTCCCTCCCGCATGCCTCAGCTCGCTCAAACCTGGTGTCAGCACTGCCTGCTGACCTCGGGCCAAATTAAGTAACCTCTCTGATTTGTTTATCTGTAAAGGAAAGGTGACACCTACCTCATTAGGTTGTTGCGAGGATTAAATGAAGTAATATACTTGAAATAAAAAACGGGGCAGTGTTGGAAGCACCTGTGGTGCTGGTGATTCAAGGATGGTCCCTGTGACTGAGGAAATGAAACTCCAAAGGGCACTTGAAGATGTGTGTTTCTCTGCGCCCTCTCTTAACTCTGTTTCTCCTTTTGCTTTGGACCCGTGCGTTCGTTTCATTAGCACATGAGCACGTCTGTTTGCTTTTCTTTTCTCGGTGGTGCCGGGGTTAAACTCCGCTGGTGCTGCACCACTGAGCACCCCTCCCCGGCTCAGTGCCCTCCTTTCTAGATTTAAACTCTTTTCTGGTGAGTAACAGCTCTCAGATAAACACTCTCCCGGTTTTACCCCTGAGTATGATTCCTTCATTTCCACACTCCTGTAATAAAAGGCAGGGATGGGGTACTAAAACATCTTGCCTTTCTACAAAGCCTCATAAGAGAATCAGTTTTATTAGGGGGAAGGGAGAAAAGGGAGAGAACGAAGTTAAAAATTGGTGTGCAGAAAATAATGTGTGCACTAACATTAGCTGGTGGGCCTGGCATTTTAAGGAGCAACAAGAGCAAGACTATGGAGGTTGCTGCTGCCGTGGCTCGAACCCCCGCCCGGGGATCTGGCTGAATCGGGCTCCGCCCCAAAGCCTGTAATTATGGAGCACATAGGGACAGTTGCAAAGGCCCTGTTTTATTCCATGGTTAAATAACATGACTTTAAAAATAAAAAAGTTAAATATCTATTTAGCTTATTGTCTGGGAATTTCTTAAGTATAAAGGTGCTGTAATGTTCCCCTTTTGTTAATGCCCGAATATAAACATGAAATTCCAAGACTACGAAGATCGGCTCGGACTGTCCTGAACTTGCTGCCACGTGCAGGGCCCACGGGTGGCCGCCGTGGGGCCTTGGTCCGGTGCTAGACTGTGAGGCCAATGCCGAGCGAGGCCTGTCTCTGAGCCCATGGAAGCGTGGTGCCCTGCACTGCTGGAGAGAAGCCTGCCGGATCGAGGCCCAGGTTCTTCAACTACTCCTGGTTCTGCCTGAAGATTGCCAACTCCAGCCGCCACAAGGAAACTTCCCACCCGACAGACGGGCTGTGCAAGCCACAGGACAGCTACCACTGCCATGGTGCCCTGCGCTGCCAAAGGGGTTTGGCATCCTCAGAGTGGTCAGACAGAGACGCCGGCGCCTGCCTCTGCGGGTGTGTGTGCGTGTGTCTGCACACGTACGTCTGTGTGTGTGACTGTGTCTGTGTGTGTGCATGCACATGTGCGTCTGTCCATCAGGCAGAGGAGGAGGTCAAGGTGTAGAGGCTCAGGGTGACCTGCCGGGCAGAAGGGTCCTGAGGAGCTGGAGACACCAGCCCGAGTCCTGCCCTGACTCCTCTTCCCGACGCCAGCTCCCCTTGTCAGGCTCCTTCTTTCTTTCTTGCAAATAACAGGAAGAAAGGGTTTTGTGGGCAGCGTGCCACTCACTTGGCTGATGAGAAGACCAGAGAGCCATGGAGTGGGCAGGTGACTGCAGGTGCCAGGGCTGAGGACCAGCATTTCAGAGCTCGCAGGAAGACGTGAGGAGAGCCCTTCTGGGGCCACCTTCCCCCCTGCCAGATTTCGCCGCCTAACGTTTAGAGCAAAGAGTCCAAGGAGGGGTGAGTTGGCCTGGCTGGGCTAGGCCCTGCGGTACCTGCTGGGGGAACGCTGTGGACGGAAGCCGAAGTCTTGGTTTTGGGGCTCCCCGCTTGGGAAGGGCTCAGGCCGGGATCACTGTGCGCGCCACTGAGACGAGGGAGCAGGTGCTGGGGAGCCAGGAGCCCCCAGCAGGCCCACACCGCTCCCCACAGTCCCCCCCGTGCTCCAACCTTGCTCCAGTCAGTGTCCCCTCGTCCCTGTCCCACAGCGCTGCACTGCCTGTCCCAGCTCTCAGGGCTAACTTCGCTGCTTTGATCAAGACACAGGATTTTAAAAATTGATGAAGGCCTTTGTCCGAAGCTGGGCTGTACTGCCTTGGGAAACTAAGTTGAAAGTCACGAGTAGCATAATTCGCAAGTACTTAAATACACAGGAAACAACACACACATACACACACACACACACACACATCTGTAGTCTGTTTAGAGGAACCAGACACAGATTCAGAAATGCAGTCTGACATAAGCTGTCTTAATCGTTCACGACTGTGACTGCCATCTATGTGAGAAATGTCATCCATAAGATCGGCTGGAGAACTCCCTCATGTCAGGCCAAGTCAGCTACTGGGAGGCACAGATGGCGTTTAAAAAAGCCGCCCTGGGATGTGTTTTGTTATCATTTACAGGTAGGCTCTGCAGGTAAAGTGCGGTTTCTCCAACACCAAACCTGATCCACTTGTGGCCCAATATCAAGCAACTTCAGTGAAGAACCAAAGCAAGAGCCATTTGTTTTCCTAGGAGGACTGAAGGGATGTGTGAAGGACTTATTCCAAACGGAGGCTGAGAAGGTGGCAGGAAAATCAAAGTCCACAAGAGTCAGGGGAAAGGCTGGGAACAGCTCAGAAGTCCCTGTTTACCATATTTTCAGGTTTGTAGACAACATATTTGAGTTCTGTGTGCCATCAACAGACAGCCCTATTTCTACGTCATGTATGGACATTTTCAGCTCTAAGCTACTAATCCTTATTTGAAGCCTGAATCCCCCTCTGCCTCCTGAATAGGACTCTAACCGAGGTGTAAATGCACTGCCCCTTTCTTTGTTTCCATCCATCAAATGTTTTTCTTACGAATTCTTTTATGTAATCAGAATGCCAGGTGGGGACAGGGTTGAAACCTTTGTTCTTTTGATGGCCCATAACTCTGTTGGCATTCATTACACACACACACACACTTTATTGAGATATAGTATATGTTCCATGCACTTCACATTTCTCCCATTTAAAGTACCATTCGATAACCCATAAGATGATACAACTATCATCACAATTTAATTTTAGAATATTTTCATCATCTTTTCCAAGAAGAAACCCCATGCTCATTTGTTGTAATGGTCGCTCCCCATTTCTCTCTCCCTCCCTCAGCTACTGATAATCACTAATCTATGTTTTATCTCTATAGATTTGCCTATTCTGGACATTTTATGAAATGTGACCAAACTATACAATGAACATTTAAATTTAGAAAATATTTATTACTGTAAAATACACATTGCTATTAATTCCTCTCAAGATACCTCCCTCTGCCTCAAGCACACTTATCCCATCACTCCTACCACTCTCTGTAGCTGTCCCAGAAGTGCTTCTTTGTGAGTGTCTTTGTAAGGTATGATCAAAAATACAGTGAATGCGGGTGCCGAGAGCCATCCAAGCAAAATGCAGGCTTAAAAAACATTGTGCTGTGTCCGCTCCACCTTAGTCACGTGATCTGCCACTGCGTGACTTCCGGCTCTTCCCCAAAGTCAAAATGACATGAAAGGTAAACGTGTTGAATGAATTCAGGACATCGAGGCAGCCAGGACAGTGCAACTAGAGACACTAAGAGGACCCCAGAGCTGCTTCAGGAAGAGCAAAAAGCATGGGATAAGCATGTTCGAAGGGATGGGGGCTATTTTGAGGCAGATTAATGGTACTGTGTCTTTTACCATGATACATATTTAAAATTTAAGCACTTACTGTCGTTTTCAGTCACACCTCATGTATTAATGCCATCTTTGTGTCTGGCTTCGTTCGCTTAGCGGAACGTTTTTGAGGCTCATCCGTGTGGTAGCATGCGTCAGTACTTCATTTCTTTTTCTCGTGGAATATGTTCCTTGTAAGAAGAGACCGTAGTTTTAATTCACTCATCCGCTGATGGGCAGCTGGGGTGTTCTCACTTTTTGGTGGGTAGGAAAAATGAGTCTAGGAAGTACACTTTCCTGGGTAAGTTTTTGTGCAGAAGCAGTTTTTCCATTGTCTTGAGTGTATATGCTGAGGAGTAGAAACGCTAGGTCGCAGGATGTGTCTGACTGCTCCCAG